TCAACACATTTGACTGTAAAGGCCAAGTTAGTCATGACAGAAATCAAAGTTTCCTCTAAATTCTTGAATTGTGATTTGATGAAAGCCTTAAAGTTATCATTATTATTGGTGTGCATCGATCCACCTGCTTTAGTTTTTTTATATACTGTGCCATTAAGTATGGGGCAAATAGTATTATCAAAGAGGATTTCTTCATTCATGTTCAGTGGGATATCGTCAGACCATGAACCAGATTGTGGATTTTGTTTGATTTCAGAAGGTGAAGGAGGTTTGTTGCAATCATTGTCTTTGTTGGGAATGTTGTTATTATTATTATTTCTCAGTGGGATAGCTTGTTGGTTGTTATTCGTGGTGGGTAGTGGTTTAGTAACATGGGCAAAGGTAATGTCCAGGTTGACTGCGCCTCTCATTTTTTTGGGGGAAGCCTTGTAATTGGAATACTGTGCAGGTTGGAATCTTTGATAAAGATTCTGCATATTTCGGTCAGATAGACTTTTCCTTCTTTGTGGACAATCATTCGCTTTGTAGTTAGGTGATGAGCAAATGGCACAAAGTTTGGCCTTTGCTTCAGTCCAAGTCACGTATTTGCCATCTATAGTAAGATTATCATTTGAAATTGCGGCCTCAAAATCATCTGCAGTGGCAAAGTAGAAAAATGTGTGTTGTAAATTTTAGTAGTTGGACTTGGCCTTGGAAATAACCCAGACAGTGGCGTCAACCATCTTTCCAATTTCCTCGAGTTGTCTACCTGTCATATATCTAGGAAGGCTGGCAAGTTTTGCTGAAAATTTTGAACGTGCTAGAATTTCTGCACAAGATTGGTCACACATGTGGACTCTGACCATGTCATTAAGTACAAAAAAGCCGTGACAATTCTTTAGTTCTATGAAATTAGTGTCTTCAGCAAAGGTAATGGTAGCCTGTTGCCACATATTCTTTGTTTTACTTGTGAAATGGACAATCGATCTGAATTTAGCGAATTTCATTCTAATCCTATATTCCGTAGAATCTAGGAGAATTTCAGTCACCTTGATCGACCTTGCAGGAACATACAGTTGTGCTCATACAATGTCGAGGGGTAAGAATGTGCAGTTTTCTAAATTGGATAATGGAACTGAACACATATGATCTCGTTCTTTTCGGTTACGAAAGAAAATTTTTAGGATGCGTTGTGATTGGTCTTTCAGATGTTTGGCTAATGTCACACCTGAGAACGAATCATATTTGTCGAATAGCATATCAATAACAGAAGAGACTTTTTGCTACAGCGACGTTCCTGGAAATTTTTTGAGGGGAAAATATCCATAGAAAGAAGATTTTTGGCACTCAAAAGCTTATACTGAGGACATATTTTTGTCCAAGAAGTTCTCTGACGCGTCGAAACTAGCGTTTACATCTAGAGTGGTGGTGGTATTTTCTGGGGTCTCATTCAAAGTTTCTTTCTTCTTGCCTTTTTTCAAAGGCGAAGGGTCGACATTTATGGATACTACCAGTTCTGGAGTCTCAGTAGTCTGTTGGGTTGGTGGAACTTCTACAGTTTGCGTTGTATTTTGTTTTTTTGCTTTTTGCGTAGTTAACGGTGAAGACGAACGTCTTGTTGTTTTTGTTTTTGCTCGCTGTTTTTTTTGGACATTTTGGGATCAACAGGAGAGAGTTTTAATATCAGTATCGCCTTATTAATTGATTAGACTCAATATTATTTTTAGTGCAATTTTTTATTGGCCAAGTATGTTTATTGTGATGTAACATTTTTGATCATCAATTACTCAAAATCAATTTATAGTCTTGGAACCCACTTTTAATAGATCAGCTCCTATATGTTTATATTTGTAAAATAATGCATAGATCAGTTTTAATAAACAAAAACATAAACAATTTTAATTTTATATTTTTAAAACTATGCTATTTAATATAAGTAGTGTTTGGATCTGTGTATCCATATTATCTATGGATACATATCCGTAATATAAATTTAATATCCATTATCCATATAAAAATTAAACCTAAATATGGATAATTTAAAAAAAATTGAATGGATAATCCATATCCATGTTATCTATGGATAATACAGATAATACGGATAACATGAATAGCATGGATAACATGGATAATATGGATAATAAGGATAATATGGATAACACAGATAATATGGATAATACAGATAATACAGATAATATGGATAATACAGATAATACAGATAATATGGATAATACGAATTACAGGATAATACAGATAATATGGATAACACAGATAATACAGATAATATGGATAATACAAATAATACGGATAACACAGATAATATGGATAATACAGATAATACAGATAACACAGATAATATGGATAACACAGATAAAATGGATAATACAGATTATCTAGAATAACATTTATAAACACATAGAATTTTTATATATTTAATACAATATTTAATATATTTATTTATTTTAAATGATTAAAAATACTTAAATTTCATCAAATTCATTATAAATTTCTGGTGAAAGAAGATTACCTATAACATTATAATTCTTTTTAAAAATAAAAGCTTTTCATAAAATTTTGGCTTTAATTGTATATGTTTTGCTGTCATTGTATTACCTGCTTGAGAAAATAATCTTTCACTAGATGTTGATGTAGCTGAAATTGACAAATATTTTTTGGCTAAATAAGATAAAATTGAAAATCTGTCTTG